TTAGTCATCTTTATTCTCTCATTCACCCCTTTCTGACACCAGGATATGAAACCGTAATCTTACATTGGAAATTGAATAGCTGTAACTTCGTTAATACTTGTCCAAAGGCACTATAACATTTTTCTTTTCTTTATAACTTTTTTTCCTGAATTTTTTGGGGAATTTAGTCTATATACGAAAATTGAATGAACAATGATTAGAATATTATACGAAAGTTTCATCAAAATCGTTCGAGCCGTTTTTGCGCTACAGTCTATAGAAAAACATGTCTATCATTTATTGCGCGTTAGCTATTGCGCATGGAACACCGAATTTCTGTCACAGCCATCAGTAGTCAAAACCCTACAAAATAAAAAAAGAAGCAACAAAATCGGTTCAGCAGTTCCCGAGAAAATCTTGGCACAGACAGACCAATTGCTAAAAATGTGTTTTTCGGACTCAGGAGGCTCTGAAACGTATAGATCCGTCGAAACCCGCATGTCGGAAATTTAACCCGATTGCAATACTTTCTTAACCTAGTATAGGTAGGAAAGTAAAAAATCGTCAAATACTAATCCAAATTTTTTTTTCGTTTACCATTCATTCTTTATCAGAGTGTATATAAATATCCTCTGAACTTATGTGACCAATACCTAGAAGAAAAAACCATTACAAGAATATTCTTAGAATTCTTAGAGTATCAACTATTGCTATTGTAATTCTCACATCCTCCTAAAGTTTTCATAACAAACAACTTGGACATTTCAACGAAGTTATAAAAATTTAACTTTATTGAAGTAACAACCAGCCAAATGAACAATAATTATAGAACACTGAAAAGGACTTGCATGAGGGACAATCTGTGTAGGTATAATTGGCAATTCAAGTCCGGATGGAGCCCATACTAGTATATCATTTCCCTCTTCCTCGACCACAACACTTTTTATGCAACACAGATTCGTCTATAGTACTATTGAAATACAATTATGAATAATCGAGGGTGAGATGTCCGAGCGGCCAACGCATGTGCACAACACCGCGTTGCCCGACAACCTAATGGAAGATAGAATTTGATAAAATAATTATGAGTTCGCATCCCGGTGCCAGGGTGGTTTCAACTCTGGTATTAATCCCCCACCTTCACTCTCTGGCCCGGGAAAACCCCGTATAGGAATAGGAGGACAAAAAAAAAATGCATGAATAAAAATATAAAGAAATCAAAATTATCGTCTTAAATAAAAAGAGTCTTTTTCGTTTTCTTACAATGATTAAAAAATAAATAGCAATTCTTAAATGTGATTGCTGATTGATAAAATTAATCTAACCAATGTTTTCTTTCGTATTCGTTCAAACGACAAATATTTATCCTGAACAAAAATAATCAAATCTTACATCTTACCCTTCCATACCTTTCAATCATTCCAAATATCCACTACAAAGACATTAAAAATATCGTTCTGAGTAATAACACGATTTTTCAGGAAACATAATTACTTTTTTATTGGCCCTCCTCAAAATTGGTTTAAAACTATTTTTATTTTATTGAAGGTTATTTTTCAAATTCCATGCCATGAATAAATTATTTCTGATAACCTTCACTTTAATTGTACCATTATTTTTGGATTGTAGAATTAAATAAATTATAATACAATTACGGACCCAATCTTTAGAGAGAGCCAATCCTAAAAAGTTTTTGTTTTGTATTAGATTGTATGGTTTGTATTAACTTACCAGCAACTATCCACCACTGACCTACAATACTTTAAACTTTAACTCAACAATAAGTGGTGATTTATCTAACATTTCATGGAACTATATAATCCGGTACGACTAAAAATTCAACTGGGAACAAATCTATGGTCAAAAACCCACACTTGTCGTTTTATTTCATATCTATATTGTACAGTAGAAAAAACAGACTTCCCAATATTAACTAAAACATTACAATACATCTAAATCAATCTCAGCAACAGAAGAGAAAAAAATCATAACATGTGTTTATTGAGTTTTAACATACACGTTAAAGTCTTTAATAAAATCGGCAATTCAGCATTTTCGATGGAATCTGAGCTGGCCTCTGTTGATTTTTAAGGATTTTTCTCATTTTAATGTTTCAGAAGGATCTAACATAGAAAAGCATACAGCTCACTTGAAATATTTTCATACCATCTTAATTTGTATTGAAGGGAATGACATATCCGTTGTAGACCTTCAAACACATCTTCTGCCTTAGGTTATGAGGCCAGCTGAATTTCTCTCTCATTGTGTGATCTTGCCCTCATGGGAATGTTACCCCCTCACTAGGTATTATCTAGTCACTCACTTAAACCTTGGCACTATTTAATTTAGTAAATAAAGATGAGTAGGTGGATTTAATAAAATACTTAAGGAGGAAATTCCAATTGGATTTGTTATTTTTATTAATTGAAGTGGTGAGTGCATCTGAGTCTGCTCTCGACTTGCGAACGAGAAATGACCAATATCTTTTTCTTCAAAATCTCCTCTCAAACTAGTTTCAATTTATCTCTGTATTTAACAATTTGTTACATGAAACAAATAATAGGTCTGTCAATTCCATTAAAAATGAATCATCTGGAAAGAATTTTAAAAGGATTTGAAGGTTTTTCGTTTAAATGTTAGAATAAGGATTTTTGAATCTCATAAATCCATTGTCGCATTAAATTTCCTTTGATACAGTTTTAAGCATCTTTAAGGGACTTAAGAATTTTTTCTTCGATGTAAAAATACAATATCTCAATCAAAATGACAAAATATATAATAAAAAATAGCCAGCCACAAACTCTGCACTATTGTTTGATTTCACAGAGGAAAACTAAGTAGAGTGAACGCACCAGTTATGGACAGGGGACCCAGCGATGGACAGGTTGGACATTTAAATGAAAAGAATAAGCTTCCTTGTTGATGTAAAGGTTCCAGTTTTTTCCAGATTGAAAAATAATAACCTCTATTGACAACTATTTGAATAAAGTTCCCAAAAGACAATTTTAGAATGCTTATCATTGTTGTTTCTATAGTGCTCTTGAGATCAGTGTGTTTCATACCTTCCTACTAACAGTTTTGCTAAGAATAACTTCAACTTTTATCTTATCTTATTTTTATCGTTATCTGTATAGTTAAATAAATATTTTAGATTTTTATTCTGAGGAATGTCCATCTCTTGTACCGACACCCTGTCCATTACTAGAACAATTGAATTTCGGGGTGTCCATCACTAGTGCAAAAAGGTGTTTTTTTTTTTAAATGGAGATTATACCTGCATAACTGAATATTTTTCAATTTTAAAGTGTTAAATAGATAAAGGTAGATCCTAGAGATTCTAAATGTCCAAAGGAGAAGTTTATAACTATAATAATTATGACGGCATAAGCCAAAAAAGATTTCATTTCCTTAGCTATATCCATCATTGGTGAGCTTACCCTAATTAGTGGTTTTATTTTGTGAAATGTTACTTAATTACTTTTTAGTAATAAACCGATGATATATTAATATCATTATTAATTATTTAATTGTACCGTTAATGAAAGGAAAAATAAAACATTAATTAGTTAGAAAACAATTCATTCCCTTCGTGTTATAGGGACCAATAGACGTCGGTCCCGGTTCCATGAAACGATCAACGATAGTAAACAGAAGACAAGTCGATGTAATTGATTGCGATGTGATCCATCATACTGCTCCTTGCTTTGATATTGTTAACCTCAATTTATCAGAACAAAAGTAACAAATAGTCCTGTCAGCTTCAGTTGTCTTTTCTTCATCCTAGGCGCCCTTCCAGGTTACAATAAAAAAACCTTCATCCGACAACCCCTTACTATTTTATATAATGACACAAATATAACAAAGTCGATTTTAATTTATTAAATGTATGAATATAAAAATGTATTTAGGCTAGAGGCTTCTACACATAGAACGCAGTGTGTCCAGGCAATACGATACTCTTTGTCGGTTTCGCTGCGGATTATTGCCCTCTGTCTGAATGCATTAGATAGTAATACAACTATATCGTCATATCGCCGCCGATAGGAATATCTTATCGCCTGACATATCGCTTTCTGCGTGTAGGAGCCTTAACAGTACCTTTCTAATAAGGTGAAAAGAAAGGATATGAAAAATGGAGTGGAGAGGAGAGGTAGAGTGAAAACGTGTTGCTAAAATAAAAACAATTACAATATTCTTCATTAATTTCTTAAATTTATATATTACAGGGTCATCCGGTCAAAAATGAAAATTAAACTCAGAACTGAATTTCTGAGTAATTTTACTTGAATACTTTTTGAGATATTAATTTTCATAACAATATGAAAAACGATTTTTTTTTTTTTTTAATTCTCAACAACTTCCTTAAATCAAACCGGTGGGCAAAAAAATTGTCTATACGCTTAATTAAAGAAAAAAAGTGACATGGTTTAAGTTAATAATTCATAACTTAGTCAATTTTCATTATATCACGATATTTTATTCAAATAGATGTTCCGAAAGACCTGTAAAATAACTCAAAAATGGATTTAGCAACATATCCATTAAACTGTTTGTAAACAATTAAAATAAAGAAAAAAAGAAGGTTCATGGTCTTTACAATAATTAAAAAAAAAAAAGTTTATATTGAAAAGAAAACTGTTCCAAAGAAGTAACATTATTAAAATAACACAATTCAATGCCTTATACATACATTAGTCAATTTTCATTTTTTGTAATTTCTACTTCCTTTTTTATTATTTACATTTCGCTTGACATTTAATATGCCTTTTCTTTTTAATTCACATGCATACTACAACCTTTATGTATTTACTATTTATCATACAATTAGCTGCATGATATGTTGCTGAAATAATAATACAATTTTCTTCAACAATCCACCAAAAAACCTATATTCTGATGCATAACTTTTCTAAAATTTATAAAATATACATCAATTTTCTTATTATTCATCCTTCGTATGGATACTAAATTTTAATATATTTTAACAAATTTTTCTATCCTAACATTTTTTTTTTTTTCAGCATGTGACTGTGTCAAGGCTTCGAAGAGCAACTGTTACCCTTTGGTTATTTAACTTAGCCATTGTAATCTTACCAATTTTTGGAATAGGTGCTTATTACAATAAAGAAAAGGGTTATTGCATCCGTTACAAAAATGCTACTGAAACTATTGACATAATTTATGCATACGTATACATGGGCTTTGGTACGTATATTTATCTAATTTAATAATATTTATGCAATGTAGTCAAATATTTTCTAAGCTCAATGAAATCTTTTTGAAATATACCTAATTATATAAAAATAAATCCAGAATCTGTTAATTAATTTTCTTTTAATGCCAGAAAACTGTTATAACAAAAATATAATATTAAATAAAATAGAAATGAAATGACAGTTTTACAATAATTTAAACATCATAAAAATTATTGTTGTCTTGTAACAACAAAAAGAATCCCGGACTTCAAAGGAAAATGGCACTACATTGAAAAGAAAAAAAGAGTTATTGAAATAAATAGGAATGTTACTGAAAAAAAAAAAAAAAAAAAGTAAAGCATAATAATAGGCTTTTTATCTAATTACAGTTTTTAGAAAAATATCTATTTTTAAAAGAAATTTATAAAATTAAATCTGAGTGCGTTATAACAATATTGATATTAATGATATATTTCTATTGCAGGAGTACTTCTGTGCATATGTCTGCTGTTATCTAACTTCTCTGTGGTGGCCACCCTGACGCTTAGGAAGCGTAGTGGAGCTAGTAAACCACACGTCTTAGTGCGAAGGCATTCTCGCAACAAAGATCTAGAAGCTACATCAACTGCAGAAGAAACAGCCTTCGCAAGAGTTATGATTTATATCAGTCTCTCCTTCTTGTGCTCTTGGCTGCCACAACTGGTACATTACTAATTCTCATAATTAATATTTCTTTATATTGATAGAAATGTAGATTTAGAAATCAGATGGTAAATAAAAAGATTATGGAGATAAATAATGGAAAAAAATATTAAAAAATTAAAGTGAGTAGGTAAGTTTGATTTACATTCTTTGAATCAGCTGTGTAAATTATTGTCTATTCATTATTCTGACAAATCTTAACCATATTATGTATATTCATCAAATTAGCACCATTCTTCACAGCAAAATAATTGAAGTGAAGAATGGATAATGATAAAGATTTGTATATACTAAAAAATCTAGATAAAGAGGAAATTGATCAATGTTCTAAATTTCAAAAATAGAATTCAGTAAAAATAAAAATAAGTAAAATTTTGTAAATGACATAGACTCAGTATAGATGGTTAGTAATGTGGAAGATCTCTTCACCATAAGTTACCCCATACTTTGGGACTGGTTGGGTAACTTTGGGGCAGCAGATAAAATTTAGTTGTGCTCATTCAGTGGTGTATACTGTACTGTGTTAGTTCAGTCTGCAAAAACGTACAGTCTGCATGTACTGCGTTACTATCTTGCGGCAGTTTGAGAACCCTAGTTCACTACATTTGATATGCAGTTAGGTTTTATTTATTTCCATTGCTTTTTTCAAAATTCTTGTTTTCATGAAACTTTTGCTTGTGCCTCAAGAATAGAGTGCTGCAAGGTAGTAGTGCAGTACATGCGCTCTCCATGCTGACTGAACCAACACAGTGTATCCCCCACAGAATCTTCCATTACAAACTAAATTTTACCTGTTGTCCCAAAGTTATTCACCCAGTCCCAAAGTTATCCCATCCTACGGTACTTGATAACTGAGGTTTTACAATAGATTAGAAAAAAGAATTAAAAACTTAAGGAGAATTCCAGAAAGTAGGAGAAAACAAGCCATCTAGCTTAGATAAATAGACAATACATTTATTACTCTTTTCACTAGTTGTTCAAAGCCCAGAGTGGAGCCGATGGTGGGTGACGACTCTGAAGGGGAGTACCTTAAGAAAATACTTTCCCACCGTCCAATCTCGGTTACTAGTGAAATAGATCCTCCCGGACATTGGGTTTCAGAATTCCTCATGGGGCATGGGAGTTTTATTACACAGGTTCGTATAGGATATAGAACCCACTGTCCCACTTGTGGTGTTCTGGAGATTGTTGAGTATGTGGTCATAGCCTGCACTGCTTTCCACGGATTAAGAGAACGTTGATGAGAATCACGGGAATTTACGTCCTCACCGAAGAGGAGTTTCCTCAGTTGGCGAGTCAGGAAAATTTCCCGTGGTTCAAAGACTTCATCAATGCCTAGAAGATGGCGGTGAGTCAAGTCCACTTCAACCCCAAGCCCCAAAAAGGAGATGAGGACCAGTGCCAGGAAGATCTCCGGATTTTGGAAGCTTGGCTTAATTTGTTGAAGAATTAAAAGAAATAGAGCTGTGTGCACAGTATTGAATTTTGTAAACTGATGGAAATAACTAAATAAATAGTTGTGCAAACCCCAAATTCCAACTAAATATTGAGAATTAATTTAATTGATTTTAATAATACCATAATTTGGTTTTGATGTTTCAATGGCAAATAGAAAATTATACCGCCAAGAAAGGGATGTATATAAAATTATTACATGCCATAACTAATTCAATTTATTTTATTTTTTTATTTCAGGCAAGTGTTCCAGTAGCACAACTCATAAAATCTGACTCTTGTAAGAAGTACTTCAGGATTGCTGACATGATATTAGCAATACATTTTATAATAGACCCTTATATTTACATTCTTCAAAAATTTATTGTTTTTAAGCCTTCAGAATGGTGTCGTAAACCCAATTCTAGAACGAGCTCTGTAAAAACATCAAATGAGTTATGTTCATTGTAAAAAATTGTGAATTTTAACATTGTAAGGGTTGAGAGTTGTCAATGTCGACTAAATCAACTACGATTTTTAAAAACAGTATTCAGTTTTCAGACTGAAAGTAGTTATTGCTGATATAGAGTTCTGTTTTTTGGTTTTCAGTGAATTAATATTTTACTGAAATGATGTTGAGAAAGAAGTTTCAATAAGAAATATGAAGTAAAGATCTTATATTTATTCTATTATAATAGTTGAAGCAAACAACATAGAAACTGTAAGAAGACGTAATGCACATGAGTTATGTATTGTTGTTGAACCATTGATGTAATAAGTAACTATTTTTTTTTTTTATATCAATGTTCAATTATACCTTCATTTATTAAAAAAATATAGTTATAGTTATTAATTATTTTATTTATAAAGTTCAATTATTTGGTATAAAATTATTTTTGTTATATTGGAATTTATTTCGGGTCAAACTTTAATATGATAAGTTTTGTGATCAGTCAGTCATATCACAATAAGATATGGTAGATGGCCAGTAATACAAATAATTTTTCTGTTTCTTCAAGAGCACATTTACAAACAAGAGTAATACCTCATTGAATAGCCTCTGAGTCTTCTTCGTCAAGTCCTCAAAAGAATTAACTTTAGCATTTTAAGATTTGACTTAACAAGCTCAAATTAAATCTCTTGAGTACTTGAAGAAGAAGCCCCTGAGAATAGTCATTGAGGGATTACTCCTGCGTCTAGATGCGTAAATGAAGAAAAAGAAAAATTATTCATAGCATTGTTCATCACCATGACTTGTGGGTCAGCTCAGAACTGACCACAAACTATATATTTTTTAAGTTTATCACAAAACACATTGAATTATAATAAAATTATTATGAAAAAAATTACAAAACAAATTATTGAAAGATAGAAACCAAAAGAAATTTGTTTATTTTTTAATGACCGAAAGTATACTTGAACACTATACGATATAGAAAAAAAAGTAATGTTAAGTAAAATAATACATAAACCATGTTCATAATTTATTCTTATAATCCTATGTTATTATCTACAAAAATAATTTTTAGATATAGATGTAATAAATGTGTACTCTCAGGAATTAACATAGTATGTAAATAATGGCATTGCTAAGGAAATTGCTTATAACAAAAAATGTCACACACATGATAATTAAATATCAAAATGCTGGATACAATCAAAGTGCTTATTTTAATTATTACAGATGCAAATGCTTTGTGTTCAATCTTAAGGCAGTTTCATATCATTAATGTTAGACTTTTATAGCTAAAATAAAAAAGTTTTCCATGAGGTCAAAAACAGTTCTTTTTTAAATAGACAATTTTTGAGAAAAATATACAGCATATAGATAATTGTGGTCTGCAATAAGCATTCAAAATTTTTCTTGTTTGGTAGTAAATTAAATAACTATTTAAAGTATAGAATAACAGCATATCTTGTTCCCTCCCCATGTACTAACTTGCCTTCCAAAGAAAAAGTTGTTTTACGCAACTTTAATTTTTAAAGAAACATCAAGTCATTCGTTTAAAATATTTTGCCTCAGAAAATAAATAATATAAGAAACAGAATTTGTCAATATTGACTATTATTTTCTCTATTATCTGCTATTTTCATAACATTATATTATTGTAATGATTTTATGGAATACTTACTTTAGGAACCAATATGTGATGTGTCACCATTTCTAGCAGAGATTAAGTAAACGTTTACACAGAATGTTAGAACTTAAGAAATAAAGTTATTAGATTTTAGTAAAAATAGTTTTCTTTCCATATACACAATACGAGATTAAATTATAAAATTGTATTTGAATTTGTTAACTTGTTCATGAAAGTCAAATTTTATAAAGATCACTGAAGTATAATGACCGATTTGAGAATATTGTGTATATTAAAGACAAAATATGAATATATGAATTGTTTACTATCATATTCAATTGTTTTAATGAAGATTGTGATAATGAGTATCAATAATTTTATTTTTAATTTTTAATATAGACAAATTGTTACTCAGATTATTGGTCTTGTAAACTGTTGCTTTATGAAAAAAAATTCTTATTTTGTTTATAGGTTTAGAAGTGTGTATATAGTGGAAAATTAATAACTTACATGTTCATTGTTTATAACTTGAAACTTTGTGATACTAAACTTAAGTTGATAAGGTGTAAATATGTATGTTATTTTGTACTCATAGGTATGGTATGGATTATTGAATTAATACTTCTTTTAACTATTAAATGAAAATGAAATTATCATCACAGCTTAATTTTAAGGGATTATGTTTCAAGCAAACATAAAAAGAAAAAAAAATGAGACTATTCAGTCAAGAGCTTAATTTATGTACAAATTCATAATTTTAAATATTCAACAAAATTCAAAATGTGATATTATATTTTGTAAAGGATGTTACCAAATCAAGTAAAGAAATCATGAAAGAACTGTAAATTAGTTTTATTTTTATTGATAAGAAATTTACATATTTATGTTTTAAAGGAAAAAAAATGTTCAAATAAATAATTGAAATATTTAAACAATTATTTTTTTCCCAATTCAGCCATATATTCTGAGTTTATACCAAACAGAAATATTTATCAAAAACAGCCAGCCAAAGGATTAACCAGAGCTTATAAATTATTGATAGGTAGATTCAAGATTCTCCTAAAATTGTAACATTTCCGGGGTTTTCAGAAAAAGGAAACTAGAAATGAGAAAGTTAGTAATTCAAACATGGATAATTAGAATGGTTACATATAGGGCTTTCTACTTAACAAAATTATGGTGTTATTAAGGTTTATTTTAGGATAAACAGATAATTTAGGATAATGAAAGTATTCAAAAAATGTATTCTTTTGGAGGTAAAAATCTTAAGAAAATAAATGTTCTGGAATTAATTATGAATTTAAAGTCGCACCTAGAACTCTAAATTCTAAAGATATAATTTTTTTCACCCAGCACATTTTTCAATATAGTATTTAAATATTAACAGTTATCTTTTGTGAAGTTAATTTAAATATAATTTGCATTAAAGTACCAATGAATAACTAAAAACCAAAGGGAGGAAACGGAGAGTGAAAGCAGAGATAGGTGTAAGGTGGATTGACTATTTAGCTAAAAATACAATGAAATAAATAAATGTAGTTATAGTGATGTTTTTCTTTTTGTTTTTTAGATTCCCTAACAGTTTTAGCCATACCAGAAGTATTCTGAATGAAACATTTTGTACATAGTAATACTATTAGGATATATCCTCAGACAAATATAAAAGTGACATTTGTCACTCTATTTCAAAAAGTCACTATGGACTTCAAAAAGGTATATTTTTGAAAATTGTATTGTATGGCTAAAATAAATATTTACTAAAAAGTTAATTAGCACTGCAAAACAAAAAGATTTAATGAAAGCAGATCAACATCTCAGAAATTTATTTTCTCAATTTTTTTATATTTACAGATTTCTTTTGCAAATTCTTTAAACCTTGAGTGATACTTTTTTGCTAATAAAAGCCAGGGATACCCACCCAGAGGAGGGTTGTATGGCGCAAATTGAGTTTTCGAAATTTTTAGGAGGGCACATTAATTTTTCAATTTTAACAGAACTTTTAAACCAGGAAATAAAGAAAAAAAAAAGGCACTCTGAGATATACATGTATATAAAAAAATAAATAAGCGTGTCACATGTATGGAAGAGCGGCTGATATGGCTTTGTTGAAAGTACTATACACAAGTGGAGCATTGTCTTCCCTACTTATAGTTTCGGAATTGACTCAAAGGGTGCCTCTTGTTTTTAATACCGCTATCCGGTACTTTCATTGTGTGTATATAATAAATACAACTAATGTCTTGTCTTTGGCTATGGGACACGGATTAAATTTAAAATAATGTAGCAACAAATAAAAAACTTATGAAAAATTATCATCAGTGACAGGTAGGTTGATAGTATTTCAACATTTTGAAAGAAACTTATTAGGAATAAGACTTATCAATTTGTATACATGTTGGATCCAAACAAAAATGAAGATTTAAATTAATTTTTGTTTGCTTTGTGGATTATATTTATCGATAAAGTAACATTTGATGTCTTCTATTTAAAAAAAAATGTACCCCCTTTTGACATTGCTCTAGCAATTATTTCAGGTCAAATTCTTATTTAAAATATATGATGGTATTATGTATATATTTTTTTTAATATACTTTCATTGAAATCAGGTCTTTTGGTAATTCAACATTACGAATATCGACAACTCTATCTATATGTAAAATGTCAAGTGAAAATAGAGAAAAATTCTAAACAATAACATTGTCATAATTGCCTAGGTGCGTCGCATTTCTATGTTTTTTTGTAAAAAAAAAATAAAATTCTATTTGACAATACAAAGCTTGGTCACTTCACTTGCTATAGAGTTAAAATTCAACTAACACAATGTAAATAAATAAATAAATAAGAAATGATATAGGTAAATTTATTATTTTTAACTGAGAAATGTTCGAGGTATTTCCATGTAGAGTGTCCCCTCACTAAACGCAATAAACTCTAGAGCAAAGTACTAAAACATTATTTTTTTTTAAGCTATTGTTTGAGTGGTGTGTGTAGCAAATTTTAATATTATAAATACCGCCAAAAAGAGGGACCACTTGATACGAATATAGATGTTCAGAATTATTATGCTGTAATAGAACTATTAACACTATATACCGTAAGTTAGAGTGATTTTAAAACTGCTAGAAGGATCAGTCAATAATAAAAGGCTTAGCAAACCCGAAGGTTCAATGCTGACACCACCAAACTCTGTCCATACACCTCCCTCCACCAGCAACCATCCAAACCCGATCCCATCAGATCAGCCTTTATTAAATCTTTCTATCTTCACTTTGGTCTATCGGATGTTTACCAGTTGGTACAGCAATCTTTTAGAGATTCTTTCGTTACCAAGCCAAACAATTTTACACGATCATTTTATTCGATGCATTGTAATCTTCTCAATTATATTAACCGGATACAGTTCACTCAAATCGAGGTAGTGATGGCCGAGTGTGTTGGAGTGTTGCCCGTTCTAGCATCCTAGCGTCGCTGGTTCGAATCCAGCCGGGAGGGATTGACTTTTATTTTATGGTGGACCCACAGAATGAAGCTTAACCATCCCACTCTGGTTATAATAGGTTTGGTATCATCTCTAAAACAATCCTCCGTATGCCAAAAATGGTGGGTAGGGGATTATCCAATAAAAAAAAAAAAAAAAGCTCATGCAATTCGGCGTTGTGCAACTTTCTCAATTCTCCAATTGACTCATCTTTCTACAGTCCAAATATTCTACGAAGTACTTTATTTTTAAAAACCTAAAGATCTGGCTCATCCCTTAATATGAATGTCCTTCATCATGTTTTGCAATCGTAAAGAACCGTAGGTAGGATAATGGTTTTGTAAGTTTCGAAACAGGAGGCGCAAGCTAAGTAGAAGAAACAGTATGAGTTCAAAAAGAATGTGGAACTAAACTACAAAATATAATAATGTGGAATTAAACTACAAGGCCCAAAGAAGAGTGAAAATAGTGTGTTGGAATATAGCTCTTAGTTTTTCTATTTCATCAAAATTCAGTATATGTCCACAATATAGAGGTAAATCTGCTAAATACTAGACAAAACAATGCAGTATTTAGGGGATAATACGGAAGTTTCCTAATGATGTAAATGTGGGCCTCTAGAAAGCAAAAAAATTAACATTGATTGAAATTTTAAATAGTCTATACTCAAAAATAGCTTATTTAATCCATCCAATTAATTTATCAAAAAATATGAATATCTTGATAGCATAATGAAGAGAAAATTAAATACCTGATCACAAAGTAACAAGATAACTCAATATAATAAAAAATTACTGGATCTAACTTAATTTTAATGAAAGCTATGGATAATATAATGGAAACAATAAACAGATTAGAAAGTAATTAACAAACAAAAATAAAAATTAGCAGTTTCATTTTATTCGACCATCTTAACAAACAATTGAATATGGTTCATTAAAATTAAGGCTCAACAATATGTCTTTTTATCTCCTTTGAAACATCTTTGGCGTCAGGTTATAGGCTGAGTTTACGTGGCTTTACAATTTTCTGATGGTAATACTTCCTTAATAGGTATCTTTCTTTTGTTAAACCCTTTGAACTAAAAAGGCTACCTATATTTTAAATTTTCTTAAAATAACAAATCCATCCTGTGAAGTAAAAGACAAGTCAATACCTTTAACCAAACCAACACCCTAAGAAACTTGCCACTTGCTTACTACATTGTACTTATATTATTGAACTATAGAGTGAAATGCAATAAATTATTTACAAGCAGTGCTACTCAACTACATATAGCTCCTAAATATACAACATACTAATGAATTTATAAAAGACATGAAATAAATACATTTTATACATGCATTACATAAATAAATACATTCTTTTCTTCCATTTCATAACCAGCTATGTAAAACTACAGCATTGTTATCATAATTAAATGGTTTGTTTTTAACTTTAATCATGAAATTAACTCTCATAGAATCCTACATTTATTTTTTCCAGGTAACTTAAAATAAGACATTTCTGTAAATTCAAAAATTAAGTAAACAGTTAAAATTACAAGTAAGCACTCAAAACAATCAATTTAGATTAAAAATAAAACTATAGAGATAAATAAAGATCAGAATAAATATAAATTAA